CTAATCCCCAGGTGTGTCCCAGGAGACATGGGTGCTGGGCGGTGTGGGGGTGGTGTGCTCATCCAGCCTTTTAGACCTACCCAGATTAGTCAGTATCATTGGGAGACACAGTCCATTAAATCCACATCCTATTGGAAAAGCTTGCTTCCTCCCTCCTTCACACGGTCCCATTTTTCTTCGTGACATGTCTTCCACTCTTTGAGTCTTGCATATTCATAATTCACAACCTCTTTTCCACTTCCTTCATTTGAAATAAAGTAGACATATCCTTTTTGCATATTTTACAGTTATCCACCTCATAGCTTTGTCTCTCCCCATCCTTCCATTCGCTCATCCATCCTACCACCAAGTGGGACTCAGCCCACAAAGACATCTCCTGAACCCATCACTGTGGGGGTGGGGGGTTGAGTTAGGATTTCATTTGGGACAGACACCCAGGTACCACTCGTTCAGCTTAATTAGGACAAATTCAAATACTTTAAATACAAATACAAATTCAAATAGCTTCTCAAATACTTTTGAGGCTTCTCGACCTGCTGTGGAGGAAGAAGGAACCGGGAAGCCCTGCTCTGTGCTGGGGCCAAACAGACGCCAAGCCTCCATGCTGGGAATCTCCCAGACTCCCTGCGGCCCCCAGTGGTCAGTTACCGCTGAGGATTCTGCTGCCAAGTTGTAGGTAGTTGAGCTAAAGGAGCCATTTCACCCCCCCCACCCTGCCCCAGGATAGAATGTGCTTCACAGACGTGCAAAGCTACCAGCTTTCTGAGCATGAATTCCGTTAACCCTCAAGTACAATTATTGGCAAAGCAAAGGAAGAAGAAGAAAATCCAAAAGGCTTACTTACTAAGTGCACAGCAGCGTCGGCATTTGCACGCATTCCCATGCCCATGGTGACTCCCTGGCCCTCGCAGCGCTGGGAATCCAAGGAGTGGAACCAGTGAATCAGAGGCATGGAGAGATGCAGATTCAGGAACACACCTCTACCCCGCCCCCCACAGGAGTGTATTTCAGCCTCAGGGGTCTGATTCAAGCTTCAGGTCTCTGCAGAGGCCTGTTAAGAATCTTCTCTTCCGGAAAGAATAGACGTTGGACAGAGAGGAGAGTTCAGGGCCCGCACAGCTGTTAAGATGTCAGAGCCAAGAGGCTACGATTGCATTTCCCTCCAGGCCTGAAAGAACATTTTCACCTGCCTAAGAAAAGCGTCATCTTCAGAGGCAGTTCTCTGAATGTGTTCCGTGCAGACTTTGGGGGCCGGCGTATGTGTGTGTAGCAGTGTAGACATCCGTAATCGGTTTATATTTAAAGTTGTCCTAAAAGATTTGCTGTTTATTTTAGTTGATTACAAAAGGGAGTGAAGTACATATTTCTTTTATTAGGAAGATTTTTAAATGTAGCGTGTGCACCACCTGGAATAGAAAAACACCCCAGGCTTGAAATTAATATTTTTAAACAGATGATTTCATTCAATTCAAGGCACGTGTTGCACGTTCAAAGTACCACGCACCATAGGATGGACCGACAGGACAAGAAAATGATTGAATCCCTGTCTCAGAGGAGTTTCAATGGGAGAGAGGGCGGGCACTGCTCAGCTAGTCCCACAGTAATGCTGGGTAACAATCCCCCCCAATCTCAGCACTCCAGCACCCACAGCTGTGACCCATCTGGGTATTGCTGGTCCAGCGGGCCTTATGGACTTGCCTCTCGGAGCCAGGTGAGACTCATTGCTGCCGGCCCCAGGTCACCCACACCTGAAGCTCACGGAAGAGTCTTGCTGTTGCCATGGAAATGTTAGGAGCACAAGCCTAACATGCCCCCCCACTCTCATTGGTCAAAACAAGTCACATGATCAAGCTACTATCAGGAGACTGAAGCAGAGACTCAGTGAGGAGGAGAAAGGGAAATGGGGAAGGCTGCAAACTGGAGAAAAATTATCCTGCCCAATATACTAGGGTAAGGTCAATTTGAAATGGCTGTATAGAGAAAGCTGGCATAGATGAAGGCAAGGAAATAATTCTTCCTCCAGGTCACTAGGAAAGGTTTCTTAGAGGAGATGGCATTTGTTCTTAGTCACAAAAGATGCTTGTGTTCAGGAGCCGTTGGTGTTAGGGGGGAAGGATGTCTTGAACGAACTCTCCAGGTGCAGGTTTTGGGGATTCCACCCTCACCGGAAGCACTGGGACTACAAATCCCATAATCACTGAAAGGAGATTGCTAGGACCTGAAGGTGGAGCTAAGTGGCCAGGTTTGACATAGAACCAGATGTGTGTGCCTCTCAGGGGCCCCTTGGCTCATGGCTTGACTCTTTTCGCAGGCTCGCAGCGTGCTCTTGGGGTTCCAGATCAGTGGAACTGGTAGGAGCATTAACCGACTTATGTCCCTCTTTACCCCTGAGTTATACACTTCCCCTTGTTTTATAAACAGACCCTTAATTAGCCTTTTTATGTGTGCCTGCAGGTGCATCTTATTACAAGTCCCTTTAAGCACACAGGTGAGGACTCACAGTCGGGCAACCCATTTCATAGTGGGGTGGAGTCCCCGAACCCTGCAACAAAGAGGCAGGGGTGGGGAGTATCCATAATTGACAGCCACTTTATGGAAAGAGCTGTGGAGTCATGAAGCACATTTTCATTGTGGGATTCTAAAGAAGTAAATGAAAAGAATTAAGTTTCACAGTAGAAAAGTGAATCCGTGAAAAAGCTACAAATAAGAACTTCGAGGAAGTTGTCTCATAGACTTTGTTGTGTTGCATGTTACTTCCCATGTTACATGGGAAGTTCTTCGAAAACTAGAGTGTTAGAGAATTCCCCAGGTATTTAACTTTTAGTGGGAATGTGGAAAAGCACCCAAGAGTGAGACTTTTAAGCTTTTGGAGTATTCTAAGAGCTGAAAATTACATAGATGATTATCTAGCCAAGCTCACTTATTTCACAAATGAAGACATGTATAGTGGAGATCAACACGTTATCTCTCTATGCACATGGCCACATGTCCCTTGAGCAGAAAGATATGGGCAGAGAAATACACCCTCAGGGGACGCCATCACTGCATTCACACATTAGCTTGTGCTCACACCGTCCTGCACACACCTAGTTGTGTATGGGGACGGCCTTCCTGCATACAGCTCATAGTTGACGGAGCATAGGGCACGTGGCGTGTGTGTGCACAGGTGTCTTTAAATAGACTGACTTACTGGGTTTGGGGTTCCTCGGCTCGTGACTGTGCCCAAGCCATATCTTGTGTCCAAAGCCATATCTTGGCAACGCAAAGCAAAGTAGAGGACAGCACACTCGGGAAGAGATCCGAGTTGAGGGCTCATGAACAACCGGAAGGAATGGCAGCGGCTTCCTGGCTTAAATGGGTGTGGGGCGCCGCTCACTGTGCCCCAGTCTGTGGTTTACTGCACAGGGCTCCTGGGGTGTTGGTTTATAGGCCTGGGCAAGAGTTTCCAAGTCACTCCCCATTCTGAGTTCCTGGGGTGTCATTTTATCAGCCCGGAAACAGTTGCTCCCCCTGTAGGACACCCCACCCTGTAGGTGGGGTTGGAGGTCTGCCTTGTTCCCCCTGGGCATTTCTTCGCTCTTCCCTGGATTTATGGTTTATCCGCTCTGGCAAGTGTTCCCAGGGTCTTGGATTTGTCGGCTGTTAATTTTCTTTAGGCATCGCCCTCCTTACCCTAAGGGCCTAACATCTGTCTGTGTAAAACATATAAATATATACTGTGAGTGTATCTAGAGAGAGAATAAATCCTCTCTCTGTATATTGAGGCGGGGGTGATTGCAAAGGGGCAGACTTCTTGAAGTGGTATTTGAAAGATTTCCTAATCCCTCCTCAACTTAAATCCCACTTTGTTTTCATCGAGTGATCGTTCTGATGCCAGAGAACAGACTATTAGTCAAAATATCTCGTTGCAAAGGGAGAAGTCATTAATTAACGTTGTAGAACAAAAGCATTTTGGAGACCTAATTATTTTTATCAAAAGATTTGTGAGTGGGTCTGGATGGCTCAGGTCACACACAGCTCTTATTAGGCAGGTGGTCTCACCTGGTGCTGATGAGAAACCCCCAGGTTGGTTGGTTGAGGAGGACGGTTGGGAGGGAGGCTGAAACCGCCATGGTATTGATTCTGTGGGGGTGAGAGTGGGGGTGGGGGGGTGCTCGGGCCAAGGACTCCACTTGGGGCCTGATTTTCTACTTGTATCACAAAGAATAAAAATCACAGATATTCAAGGCCGTGCAATACTACCTGAAGTGCTTGCTGTATTGAAAGTGCCCCCCACTCCCCAGATGCTGGGGTGTCCTTATCAGAAGATGGGGAACTGGATGATGGGGGCAGATGAGGGCAAACCAGCAAATGTTCTCTCCACCCACTCACCATCTTCCTCTGCTGAAACTCATTCTCCTTTGTAAGTGAAACCTAATCATCCGCCTAACCAAAATATAATTAGAAAAGTAAATCAGTTTGTGTTCATTTTTTCCCAGAATAGAAATAATGAGCCTTTGAAGTTCTGCCCTTTAGATAATCACCATTAATGTAGGTCAGAGGTCCACCAAGGAAGAAGGGCGGGAGGGCCAGATCCAGCTGGTGTGTTTTTATAAAACAAGTTCCATTGGAGCGGCCCCGCCTGCTCGCTCGTTTGGCGTTCGCCCCGCTGTGGCCTGGCTGAGTAATACGGAGACAGACACCATATGGGCGGGCGGCCACAGACGTCCTGTCGGGCCTTTCCAGAAAAGCGTGCATGTTGTCGCAGTACTCCAGGCCTGGAAATCCCAGCTCTCCCCTGGGTTTATGGTTTATGCGCTGAAGTGCTTGCTTGAAAGACCCCCACGCCCCCGCCTCCACCCCCAGGTGTAGAGGACGGAGCCTCGCCCCTTGCAGGACTGCGTGAAACTTGCACCTGCTCCTGCTTCCGGCATGGGTCGCCCGGAGGGGAGATCTGTGGAAGGACAGGGCACGGCCTCTGCTCCAGCCACCCTCAACCTTTGCTCTCTGTCCTTTGCCAGACTCCGACCTGAGCATGCGCACCCTGAGCACGCCCAGCCCCGCCCTGATATGTCCCCCGAACCTGCCGGGGTTTCAGAATGGAAGGGGCTCGTCCACCTCGTCGTCCTCCATCACCGGGGAGACCGTGGCCCTGGTCCACTCGCCGCCGCCGACCCGCCTCACGCACCCCCTCATCCGCCTGGCCTCCAAGCCCCAGAAGGAGCAGGCCAGCGTGGAGCGGCTGCCCGACCAGGCCCTGGTGCAGATCTTCTCCTTCCTGCCCACCAACCAGCTGTGCCGCTGCGCCCGCGTGTGCCGCCGCTGGTACAACCTGGCGTGGGACCCGCGCCTCTGGAGGACTATCCGCCTGACGGGCGAGACCATCAACGTGGACCGCGCGCTCAAGGTGCTGACCCGCAGGCTCTGCCAGGACACGCCCAACGTCTGCCTCATGCTGGAGACGGTCACGGTCAGCGGCTGCCGGCGGCTCACGGACCGGGGGCTCTACACCATCGCCCAGTGCTGCCCCGAGCTGCGGCGGCTGGAGGTCTCGGGCTGTTACAACATCTCCAACGAGGCGGTCTTCGACGTGGTGTCCCTCTGCCCCAACCTGGAGCACCTGGATGTCTCAGGTAAGCGGCGCCGCCGGTCCTGGGTGCTTTCCCGGCGCCTCCCCAGAGCGGCAGGGGACTCCTGCCTGGGCCAGGGGTCTGGGGGTCAGGAGAGGGAGGGCCACTCTTCAGAGACGCTGTCTTGCGGTCTCCACGCTGGCCAGAAGGCGGAGGCGGCGCCTTCTTCAGATGCCCACCTTCCAGAGAGACTCGAGCCGCCGGCGCCTGCACGTTTAGCTTGTCCCTGTTTTGCATCCCCTTACCTCTCATAGCTACTTTAGCTCCATCGCAGATCAGGGGAAACATAACTAACTCGAGATAAAACGAGGGGGAGGGGTAATCCAGAGAGCAGACCGCAGCTGGTTGTTCCAGAAAGCCTGAGGGGCAAGCGCTAGACAGGCAGGAAAGCGCTTCCTGGCTGTGTCTCCCAACACATCACCCACGCTGTCCGCACCTCAAGGTTGATATTCTAGCTCTTCTTCATTTTTGCTTTTTAAAGATTTATTGATTTATTTATGCACAGAAGAACTGGGGTTTAAGCCAGGGGTGGAGGTGGGGGGGGGATGATGAGAGGATTCACCAGAGACAGAGTGGGGAGCAGATGGCTGAAACACACTGCAGAGCGGAGCAGTGGGGAGACAGGAGAGGTCTGTTGCGCCCTGTGGGTCACCTCCTTGGACAGGGATCAAAGTCATGTCCCAGGGGGCATGAGACTTAACCCTAGCTAGGCACCACGGGTTCTAGCTTTTCTTAAAGCAAAATCTCAGTTACATAGCTCCAGGCTGAGTAGTCGCGTTCAGTGCAGGCTTTTTGGGCCTTTTAAAAATGGAAGGAAATCTCCGCATGGCTGCTTTGCTGGAAACCTCTCTCCAGCAGAAAGAATTAAAGTGCAGACTTTGGCGCCAGACACAGAGCGGGCTGGACTAGCAGCCTGCCTTTATCTCATCCACTGCCCGGTGAAAAGTCGAACATTCGAGAAGCTGAAGTGGATAACAAGCATCAGGGAGCTAAAGAAATGAACAGCACCCCAGCGTAACCTCAGGGGGTGTTGGGGAGGGTCACAGAGTGAGGACCCCTGTGACCAGTCCCCAAGCAGACTTGGGGGTTTTTACAGCATCCCAGCAAAGTGATATCCGTCCACAAAACCCGAGGTAAAAGCCAGCTCTCGGTTTGCTTTCCTTTGAAAGCTGACATCTGAAAATATTTCAGATGACAGTCAATTATTTTTCGCAGATTCTTTGCCTTGCTGGAAAAGGCTCCTTGCTCCTCTCCCCTGGCTTCAGAACAAAACCTAGTAACTGTGTTCCGCCAGTTCCGAGCAGCCTGTTGGCATAAAGGAGCAGGAAATGAAGAGGTTTTCTTACATTTTTCCTCCAAGGAATTCTGGAAGCAGAAAGCATTGTGATGTGGTAGAACAAGTTTCAGAACGCTGTGATTCGGGACAATTCACAACTTCCCCTAGACGTGTTTCCTCTGAGTTAGAAAAAAGGGGAGGCTGTGGATTGCTGAACATTTGCAGATTCTGGACACGTGGCCCCTGTAATAAACACCTCATTTTCTTTCCTCAAATTAGAAAATGGTTCCGTTTTGAAACTCCATCTTTGTTAAAGGGACTCCCCGTGCACCCCTTAATACAGGGTGCAAGTAATTATACCCTTTCCCTTGGAGTCTTTTTGAAATTGAGAAATGCAGAAACCCCTTTGACTTTGGGGATGGAAATTCTAGCCCGAGTGTTTGAATCCTGCTGCGCCCACTGGACCAAGCATTATGTAAACCTTGACGCCATTTTTCTCATCAAGCTGGCTGATTTGTGACTTGTGGGGCTTCCTCGAATGCCTCCCCACGTTTCCCGGAATCTGTGTCCTCAGAGACTAACCAAGGGGAATCTAACTCATCAGGCCGAGCACAGAGTTCCAGGACCAGGAGGGATTTCAGGTCCGTGGACCCGAAAGACCCACCACACCATAAGGATGGTCATCAGCGTGCTCCCCCTTTTCAAGAATCTGGAAATTGTTCTGTTGAAACAGGGATGGGCCAGGGCCGGGGGAGCACTCAAGGTGATTGCACCTGTGTCTTGTTGCCTTTGGTTTTCACAGCTGGCCTCCCTTAGCGGTCTGCTTCTCAGCGTGAGTAAGCTTGATGCAAGAAGATGCATCGTTGGCCTAGAGCTTATCCCTTCCAGAGGATGGGAAAATGTCTCTTCTCTCCCTGGCAATACAAACAACACTCACCTTGAAAACTCTTTTCAAATCATTAAAAATTACCGTAACTCTGAGGTGTGTTTTTCATCAGTGCATATGATAGGCAGGTTTGGTATGTTGAGGAATGGGGCCTCCCCGGTGGCAGAAGGGGTTAAGTCTCGGCACTAGGAAGCTATTGGCAGCCACTGCAACATGAGTTCGATCCCCGGCCAGGGAGCTGACCCACAGGGTGCAGCAGGCCTCTCCGGTCTCCCCGCTGCTCCCCTCAGCAGTGTATTTTAGTCAACCCGCCTATTCTGCTCCCTACTCTGTCTCTGGTGACTCCTCTCACCACCACCCCTGCACCTCTGGCCTACACCCTGGGACCTGAATGTTTAAATCAATTAATCTTTAAAATAAAATAATGTATTTGATATGACACTAAAGACATAATAACGAAAGAATAGATAATTTGGCTTTGAATGAAAATGTAAAGAAATAGTTGAACTAATGGTCAAATACAATATAAGAGCTGAGGAGGTGGGTTACCTACAAGCTGCAGACCCAGGAAAGCTGGAGGCGTAGCTCAGCCTGATTCTGAAGACTTGAGAACCAGGGTCGCCAGTAGCTCGAGTCTTAGGCTGAAGGCAAGAGAGCTCCAGTGTCCAGCTCACACGCAGGCAGAGAGGGGAGTTCCCTGTCCCCCGCCTTTTTTCTGTCCCTACCAAACTAGGTGAGGCCCACCCCTGTGGGGAGGGCAGTCTCTTGCGCTGATTCCAAGATTCAGCTTATCCAGAAACGCCCTCCCTGACACAGCCAGAAAGAAATGCTGAGCAAATATTCTGGGTACCCCTTCACCCAGTCAAGGTGACACCAAAAGGGAACCGTCACAATGGATTCTAGCTCTAAATATTGAAATATACGGAAGCCAGATAATTTTCATGATACAAGATGTTATAATTATTGCAAGTGAGATTGCTTTCAAGCGTCCTCTCCAAATGGAGAGATTGGGGTCTTTTTCTTCCTAAAGCTTTACATCCCAGCAGGCCAAGTCTGGCCAGGTGATTCTGCACCCCCAGTTCCTTTTCCTACCTCTTGCCTGCCTGCTAGGGGTGCCTGTTCATTTTCCAATCCTTTTATATCTATCAATCCTAGCAACCCCCTTCCACATGTCCAAACTCCAGAGGGATTTTTTTTTTTTTTAGATTTATTTATTTATTCATACAGAACTGGGG